AAACAGGAAAAAAATGAGGATATACAAAGGCATTTCTCCCAAGAGGATGTAAGGTAAAATGTATTTCCATTCGTAGCTAGCTGCCTTAAGTCCTATAGTTCTCTTTCCTGTACCTAGAATGTATTTGTTTTCTTTTTTTTTTCTTTTCTTTCTTTTTATATTTGATATTATATATACTATATATATGTTTATATTCTTTATTCCCCCTCTCCCCTCCCTTCACCTTCAACCGCCATTCTTTAATATCTAAGTAAATCCCATTTTTAACTTTAAATGTGGTGGCTCTTCATCCAAACAAATGAAACACATTAATTTGATCCATTAATATGCATGTACTTGCAACATTTTATTTCTTTTAACCTGTTTAACAGTTTAAATTTTTCTTAGTATATAATAGAGATTCAGGGAAATGATCTTTTATTGGATGATATCTCATTAGCACAGATGTCTTGTTTTGATACCTGTGGCCACAGCAACATTAGAAATTGGGTTTCATAATACAGTAATGGGTTTTATAGTAACAGCAAAGATGCTACTATACTGCAGTTATGTTATCTTGTTCCATATATAAATGGATCAGCTGTACACATAGATAAAGACTTTCCTTTCATCTCCTGTGAATAAATGGTGTGGTGTGCTATAAAGTGGTAGAGAGTTATGTAGTTGTGCTGCTGTCCTGTGTCTAGAAACATTTTTAGTGCCATTAGATATACTTTTATCAATGAAATTTCTACATCTGCAGTTTCACAAGAACTACAGCCTATTATTCTGAAATTATGATTTTAAATGTGTATATTTCTTACATCTTCCACTTAATTTGCAAGGGCAAATGCAATATTCTGTATTTGATTTTATCATTAGTAAAAAGTGTTTCTTGACTAACTGAATATTTTTGAACCTCCTTTTTGTCATCTAACAATGGTAAAAAAAAAAAAAAAAAAAAAAAAAAGTTACTCTTGTTACATTGAACATAGATTTTTTTTTTGGCATAAGGACAATCATTTTTACCAGTGGAGCTATCTCACCCTCTCTGCTTTACTGCAAACTTCTGCTTAGAATTTTTATCAGATTTCTCTTGCTTTGCTTCTTGCTTTCAGTTTAAAGGAACAGTACAAATGTCACTCTTTTGAAATAGATATGTGCTCACATGCAATCGGATATGCAACAAACTGCAGACTGATATGTTGGATGCGTATCATGAGAATGACAGGCTTTTCAAATTGTGTAGGTGTTCAAGAACATTTCAGATTTTTTTCTTACTACCTGTGGCCAGCCAACTGGTGAAAGCTCTTACCTTTGCTCTGAATTTTCTCTTCCTTCAGTTGTGAGTGATCCAGAAGGCAGTGGTCTGTCACTGACCTTGTAATATATTTTCCATATTTCATAAAATATAAGAACTTTATTGTTTCTCTTCTTTTCTGGTTATTATAGGGCCAGATTCTTTGATCCATTCTTTGGCCTTTGTATAGCTCCAGTGATGCATGGAGATAGAAATAGGCTGCATCCCCAAGCTGAGGAGTCCTCTAGCATGGAAAAGCCTTCAGTGGCCTCAGGTTATTATAGCCAGCTTCCAAATCACCATACAAGCCAGAGGATAATGGAGGAATGTCCTGGTGTGGGGACACTGCATGGTAATACTCTGCTATCCAAAGTTGCCTGATGTACCTAAGGGTACTCCAGTCTAAACCAGGACTATAAAAGGCTGGCCCCAGGATCACTAATGTAGTGTCCATTCCATTTTCATGTTACATCCCTTGATATCCTGTACTTTTCCCAGGAAGGAGTTGCACACAAAACATTCTACAATATATATATATATATATTTTGTTTTGAGTATAATCTAAACATAGCAGAGGGAAAACATATATATTTTTAAATATTATATTAGAGTTTCCATGGTTGGTGTGTTATGATTATTCAAAAGAGCTTAGTTTACAACGTAGCTAAGCTGCCCACAAAATATTTCTGTGTTTTTCTTCATTGGTAAAAATAAAATTAGCTCTTATTTTAGATTGGGAAAAGCAACAGTTGTTGTATCTGTTAGAGATGTGTAAATAGGACAGCAGGTTCTCAGGAATGGTAAAGATACCTGTATATTGTTCACATTTCTATCCAGTGCATTTAGTGAACAGTAGGAATTTTAAGTGTTTGGGGTTATGTTGCCACAGTTCTAAAATATTACGTCTTTTCATACTATAGTCTCAAGACAATGTTTGAATACTTTGCATTCTGCTCATCTAATTGAATCTTCATAACCTTATCAAAGGCAAGATGCCTGCTATTATATAATCATATCCTGCAGTTTGTGCAGGAATTTAATTTCATGAGATGCAAAAAGTATCTTGCTACCAAGCAGTATCTCACTTAAAAAATAAAATGCGTACCTTCATGTTGTGTCTTACCAACGTTCTTCAGTGCTGGCTTACAGAAATTTTGAACGAAGAAAAGTAGTAAAATATAAGCAGACAGCCACCACACTCACACAGAACCTAATATCATAGGCCTTATAAGAAACATAACTTGTTAAGGTAAATGGGATGAGGTGCAAATTCTATACAGTATAACCTCATAAATCTGGCATGCTCGGGACCGAGCACCTGCCAGAAATGTGAAAATTCCAGATTCTTGAAAACAGAGCAGCGACTGATCATGGGGCAAGGGGTCTTTAGGTCCCAAAGCAGTGGCCACACACAGAGTGGTGGCACAGGGTAGTGGATGGCAGCAGCAGCTGCCACATGCAAGCTTCCCCCTCCACTGCTCCAGGACCAGCTGCTGCTACACCCCAATGATAGTGTATTTTTAAAAAGTGCCGGATTTTCGAGAATTCTGGATTTTTGATATCTAGATTTATGAGATTATACTGTATACTTAAAAAGAAATTTGGACTTCATGTATTGCAGCTATTGCATACAGCAGAAAAATACGGCCATTAACTGCATAGGGAAACTAAAACACTAAACAAGGAATGAAAAGAGGATACTTTTCTTACCACAAAAAGTGAGGGAATTGGCACGTGTAAAAGAAGAAATGTAAATTAAGCACCTCGTGATATTTTTAAAGACTATAAGGTATTCGTATAAGGGTAACCGTGGGTATGTCCAGATGAGTGTGCATGTGCCTCATGAGGCGTGTCAAAGCAGTTTGAGAAACCACAAGAGGCATGCTAGGAACAAAAAAATGTTTCCTGCACTGCATATTTGCAGCTCTGACTCTAAATTTGATACCTGGAAATTCAGGTATCAAAAAAAAATGCACAGAAAAAAAGCAGAACAAGGCACAGTCCTGGACCATACCCTGAGGCAACCCAGTGGTGAATCCTCCAGAAACACTGTGGTATCTGGCCAGAGCATCTTTATGGTGCTTCTGTTGCCCCAGCATGCACCCTTAGTATTCAGGGCAAGCAGAAGTGGGGCAAGGTTGCGGCAGGACTTGGCCCCAGGCACTGTTCAAGGTAAGCAGATTTGGGGGGGGGGGGGGGCTTACTGTGTGGTTTCTGGTGGAGGTTGTGTGTGTGTGTGGGTCTGTGGGAAGTGGCAGGGTGTTTGTGGGAGGGATGTGGCGTTTGTGTGGGGATTTCAAAGGGGGCCACCACATACCCCACCCTCCCACCCCCTGCAGCACCAGCTGAGCTATGCCTACGGCAGTGCTGCCTGATCCAGTCTGTCCGGGGAGAATGGGCCAGGCCCGACCCAACCCAGCCTCTGCTGTGGCTGTGCGGTCCCTGCCCAGGTCTGGCAGGCATGCAGCCTTGGGGTCACATGCTCTCACAGGTGGCAACAGGTCATATCCAGGACAGCAGGTTTTTCAG